CCATTCCATCCACAACTGGTGAGGCAACACGGAGTGCCCTGGATACGGGTGGGACGATTTGGATTTCCTAGATGAGGAATAAAGACTGTGCCAACTTGGTTTAGAAAGCAGATTGGGGGCTCTTCTTCCAAAGGTGTTCCCATGGGCCTGGGAAAGAAGTTTGGGAGTTTGAGGAGCAGCATGTGATCCCAGAGACAGACATTTCTGCAGCGAAGCCAGCACAGGGCTGTAAGCCTGGTCTTAGAGGCTGTAAGGATTCAGGCATTATGCTGGCCTGCCCGTCACCTGGCAGAATGCACTCAGGCAGTGCCCTGGTCAGCCCTGGTGCAAAGGACCCCTTTAAAAGACAGATCCCTCCGGCTGACACTTTCCCTCTCTCATCCAGCAGTCTTTCCTGCTGTCTCCCTCTTCTCTTCTGTGCTCTGTCTGTGTCTCTTTACCTCTTTTCTCTTTCCTTCCCCCTCCTTCCCCTTTCTTATAAAACTTTGACTAAGTAAGCTCTGTCTGCCTGGCATGTTCCTCGCCTACCATGGAATCAGCCAAGGTCCCCTAGACAAGGTTCCTCAAGATTTATCCTAACAGAGGCCACGTCTGTCCCCAGAAGAAGGCTGCAGGTCTCTCTAGCTAGAAGGTCCGGGCAACCCACAGAGAGGCCAGAACCACGGTCCCAGCGAGATTCAAAGGCTTATGAACTTGCAGGGAACTGGAAGACTGCATCCCATTCCATTCGAAGAGCAGAGTGCCAGGGGACCCTGGGCCTGGAATGTGTCTGGAGATAAATGTTTGGCCCATGGGCTGGCTAGTTTTATGTCAACTTGACACAAGCTAAAGTCATCCAAGAGGAGGGAACCACAATTAAGAAAACGTCTCCATAAGATCAGGTTGTAGGCAAGCCTGTAAAACATTTTTCAATTAGTGACTGATGGCGTAGAGTCCAGCCCATTGTGAGTGGTGCCACCCCTGGGCTGGTGGTCCTGGGTTTTATAAGAAAGCAGGCTAAGCAAGCCGTGGGAAGCAAGCCAGTAGTAAGCAGCGCCCCTCCACGGCCTCTGCATCAGCTCCTGCCTCCTGGTCCTTGCCCTGCCTGAGTTCCTGTCCTGACTTCCCTCAGTGATGAAGAGTGATATAGAAATGTAAGTCAAATAAACCCTTTCTTCCCCAACTTGTTTTTTGGCTATGGTGTTTCATCCTAACAATTGAAGCCCTAATAAGACAGCCCACCTGGTACATACAAAAGGCACTTAGAGTATTGAGTCTCATCAGGAGAATCCTAGACTTCAGCCCCAGAGTCAGCTCTCTTGGGGCAGGCTCTTCACTGCAGTGCCAGTTCTGAAATGTCCCAGAGTCTGTTATAAACTGCGGTCTGAGATAGCAGTCACACGCAGCTCCACCATCTCCACTCCATGGGTGGATGAGTGGATGGATGGACAGACAGACAGATGTTCAGACAGATGGATGGAGCCATGCCCTCAAGAAACCAAGGTGAGCCAAGGAACATAGTCCCCTGGGAAGGGTGGACAGCCATCTGTGCAAGGAGCTATCTCCAGGGAAGGTAACATGAGGAGCAAGCGACCTCATGGTTCTTGTCCCTGGCAAATGTGACTGGACCTCTGACGGGGGCAGGGCGAGGCTAGAGACAGCAAAGAGAGTTTGTGTGTGTCGCCTTCTGACCAGAACTTACATTGCACTCAAGACGAACAAAAGGAAGGCTGAGCCAGGAATGGTGATGAACGCCTGTAATACCAGTGCCTGGGCAGTGACGGCAGGAGGATATCAAGTTTGAGAGCAGCCTGGGCTGCATGGTGATTCCAAGATCCTGAAAACCATAAAGAACAAAAGGCTCTCAAATTCCGCAGTCTGCAAGGGATCCCATACAGAAAGATCAACGAAGGCCCTGATAGTACATGTGGGAGTCAAGGCCAGTCTGCAGCTAGACCAAGAGCCTTCCCTACCTGTGCCCCAGACTAAGGAATAGAAACAGGGCCCTCTGCTTCCTCCACACAATGGCGACCCCACATCCCAGTCTCAGGAAGCGCTCCAGCAAGACTGCCTCTGGAAGTAGACATTCCCAACTGCTCTGGTTTCTTGGAAGCAAGCCAGGAGTAAGCCTGTGGCTTAAATTCCTTGCTATTCAGTGTACGTGGCTGGCTCACGTACTAAAGCTTAATGCCGAGCAAAAATATTCTGTGGCTTTTTCAGTGAAGCCTGACCAGAGCTGCATGTTCTTGTCCTTCCATCCCCACCATTAAAAAAGGTTGAAGACCATGGAACATAAAATGACTCTCCAAACATTTTCTCTTCTTTAACTTATGAGCTTGTGCATGCATGCGTGTGTACGAGTGATGTGTGTGCGTGTGTGATTGGAGTGCATACCACAACACAGGAGTAGAGGTCAGAGAACAACTTGTGGGAAACTGTTCTCTCCTTTCACCTGTGGATCCCAGGCATTGAACTCAGGACATGAGGCTTGGTGGTGAGTGCCTTTACTCTCTGAGCCATCCCCCAAACCCAAAATGGCTCTTTTTAAGATTAGCAGTTTGGGTCAGGTGTGGTGGTATATGCCTGTAATCCCAGCACTGAGAGTAGAGACAGGAGGATGAGGAGTTCAAGCCCAACCTCAGCTATATGGTGAGCTGTGGGGCTGCCTGGGATATGTAAGAGTCTATCTCAAAAAAACAAGCAAACGCGGCCTAGGGCTCCGTTGGTAAAGTGTTTGCCTATTGTGCACTTAAGGCCTGGGTTCAATCTCTGGCACCCCCTAAAGGGGCTGGGGAGCTAGGGATATGGCTCAGTGGGTGGAGTGCTTGCCATGGAAGTCCACAGACCTGAACTCAAATCTCCAACACTCACAAAGAGCCTGACATGGTAGGCACTGTACATCAGTGCTTGTTTGGTGAGGTGAGAGGCCTATGAGTACTGCAGGACAGCTGAAGACCCTGTCTCAAAACAGATAAAAGGTGACGACCAACACCCAGTGTTGTCATGTGACCTCCATACACATGCACACACACACACACACACACACACACATGCCCACACACACACACACACATACACACATGCCCACACACACATACACACACATGCCCCCCACACACACACACATGCCCCCACACACACACATACACACATGCCCACACACACACATACACACACATGCCCCCCCCACACACATGCCCACACACACACACACACACACACATACATGCCCCCCCCACACACATGCCCACACACACACATACACACACACACACATGCCCACACACATGCCCACACACATACACACACATACACACACACATACACACACATGCCCACACACATACACACACACACATGCCCACACACACACACACATGCCCCCACACACACATACACACACACATACACATGCCCACACACATACACACATACATGCCCCCACACACACACATGCTCACACACACATACACACACACATACACATGCCCACACACATACACACACATGCCCACACACACACACATACATGCCCACACACACACACATGCCCACACACATACACACATACACACATGCCCATACACACACATGCACACACACAAGCACACACATACATGCCCCCCACACACACATGCACACACACACATACACATGCCCACACACATACACACATACACACACATGCCCACACACATACACATACACACACATGCCCACACACATACACATACACACACATACACACATGCCCATACACACACATGCACACACACACATGCCCCCCACACACATACACACACGTGCCCCCACACACATACACACACATGCCCACACACACACACATACACACACATGCCCCCCCACACACATACACACACATGCCCCCCCACACACACATGCCCACACACATACACATACACATACACATACACACACATGCCCATACACACACACACATACACACACGTGCCCCCCCACACATACACACACATGCCCACACACACACACACACATACATGCCCACACACATACACATACACATACACATACACACACACATGCCCATACACACACACACATGCCCCCCCACACACACACACTACCCTTGATTTCCACTCACTCTATGATTCCGTGAAACCTGCTGGTCTTGTTTGTAAGCCTTCTTTCCCTGAAGTTAGATGGTAGGTCTCCTAGGGTGAGGGATCATGTCCTACTATTTGTTGGACTTTCCTATTTCTGTAGTGTAACTTGGAAGTTGACAAATAAATGTTCCCAGGGTAACTTTTTTAAATTAAATGGGAAATGAGGAAAAGAAATAGTTGGTAACACAGGGAAGATCATTTTCATAAACCAAACTCCAATTTCTCAAAAGGAAATCATTCAAACACTGTTCAGCTCTGCAGAGACCATCTTCCTTCAGAGTATGTTTTGGAGGAGGGCTGTCTGTAGTGATCTGTGATGTATGTTTTGTTCTAAATTTGTAATTTTTTAAAAAGTCCCTCAGGGTTGTGGAGACAGCTCAGTGGGTAGGTGCTTGTTCACAAGGCATGAAGACTTTTTTAGTTCAGGTCACAGACCCCATCGGAAGGCACAACCTGCCTGTAATCCCAGCACCCAGGAGATGGCAGTAGGAGATTCCTGGAGTTTGCTGCCTGGCTGGGCTAGCTTCACAGGGGAGTTCTGGTTCAAGTGAGAGACCCTGCCTCAAAATATAAGGGGAAACTCAGAGGAAGATGACACACGACAACCTCTGACACACTTAAACACGCACCCACACTTGTGTGCGAGCACGAATACACATGAACACCATGAACACGCACATACAGAAAGTTAAAGCACAATATATGAACACAATTCTAACAAGAGTGTGTTGTGTCTCTGTTGATTCTGGATACTGCCATATTTCAGAATCCTAGATGTGAGACCCCTCTCCTGTCACACCATCATAGGAAATACATCCCTTTCGATCTGTTTTGATGGATTTCTTGTATTTAGAAACAATGTGACTTTCTTTTTTCTTTCTTTTATTTCGCTTTTGTTTTTCGGGGACAGGATCGCTTGTCAGCAATGTAATTTTCGTGTCAATCAACAGTCCGCTGAAGAAGCAGTAAAGCCTTGAAGACTCTTCCAGATTGGTCTAAGAGCGATGCTCAGCTGGCCTCAGAGGAGAGGTAATCTGGAACAGTTGCCCTCAGGTGCCACCTGAATGGAGCCCATCCGCCATCTGTGAAAGGTGAGACCCGGCTCTACCATCTGCCCCAGAGAGCGCCCTCGCGACCCCAAGCTCCAGGACCCCTGCTCTGGGTCCTCCCCCAAAATCCACGACCCTTCTCGACCCAGCTCCGGGACCACATACGAGACCCGGATGCCATTATCCTTTTCCCCCAGGATCTCTACCCGGACCCACGCCGGAGCAGGCTCGGTGCTCTCGGGCGCCGCCTAGCACTGGCCAGGTCGGCCGCCCGCGGCTCTCGGACCCGCTGCCCCAACGCCCAGGCAGCCGGAGCCCGCTTAGGGTGGGGCAGCCTAGGATCCCGCAGCCGGCGCTGGCAGCCAGCTACTGCTCCTGCCTTGTCTTTCTTTAGGGTCCCAGAGGCGTGGGCTGTGCATTGGAGGTCGCTGGTGGGACAGGGGTAAAGCCCAGGACCTGCTTCAGTCCTTCCGTATCCGCTGGTCCCTGCAGTGGGAGGCGCCGTGCGACCGCGCTGGGCCAGCTTTGAAACCATCCCTGGAAGCAGCCCAAACTCCTGCAGTTTGTTAGCCTTGGCAGGTCTCTGGAACTTCCGGGAACTTTTAAGAAGACAAGTATCTGGATCCCACCCCAGGCCGATTGACTTGGGGGTAGCGGTGCGAAACGTGTATTTTTCAAGCTCACCCAGTGAGTCGTAAGGCCCTCAGTGTTGAGAACACCCACTTAACTATGTGTGAGCTGCAGGTCTCTTTTGCACCAAGCCCTCTTAACTGCTGGTGCGCACCCTCACGTCCTTCTAGTCTTGGCTCTGCACTAACCTGCTCTAGAAAACATAGCTACTGGGTCTAGTCTGGGTGGTTCGTCCTCGCCCAGGAGGAGGAGTGGGGTCTCTTTGTTTTGCGCCAGAGACGTGCGAAGTGCTTGGCCTGGCCAGGTTAAAGCAGACTCAAGACTAGAATCTGGATCCTTGAACTTCCTGTCCAGATGGAGTTATCAGGTCTAGCAAATAAAAGTGCAGAATGTTCAGATAAAAATTACTCAGATCAACCATGAATAATTTTTTTCATTTATCGCAAATATTGTGCAAGGAGGACTGTAAACCCAGCACTTGGAGGTGTTGGGAGGTGAGGAAAGATACCTAGGAGTTAAGACCAGCTTTGGCTACACAGAGATTGTGAGACCAGCTTGATCTACAGGAGACCCCCCTCCCCATATCTCAAAAAAGAAAAAAGAAAAAAAGAAAAGAAAAAGGAAACTCAGGTATGCTAGATATCTGTTATAGATCTGGAATTAAGATGTAACAGGATGTCCTGAATTTTGTCAGACATTATGCCCACAGGACACCCTCAAGGAATCATGACTGGGCCTATACAGGGCAGGTACGTCTTAGGCTAAATACTAGGAGCCACCAGCTAGCGTGTGTGTCATAGGGTGCTTGAGACTTCCTCGCCCAGCTGCAGGTCCAGAGTTCACCCTGCTTCATGCTACAGGGTCTTCCTGGAAATTTCCTGGTAGATGCAGAGCCAGGCACCGCTGCCATGTCTACAGCAGTGCCAAATAACGAGGAAGTTGAGTGGCCATTGGAACACCAAAGCCCTCAAGTTTAGTGTTTTCCCCAAACCTAGTCCTCTAGACTACTAAGCAAGTGAGCTTCCAAGTTCAGTGAGAGTCCGTCTCAATGACAGCGACAACAAAACAAACAAAAAAACCACGAAGTGATGGGCAGGAAGGGCTGCTCTGGAGGACCGGGTTTGAGTCCCAGCACCCATGTGGTGCCTCACAGCCATCTTAACTCCAGTGCCGTGTGTGTGTGTGTGTGTGTGTGTGTGTGTGTGTGTGTGTGTGAGTGTGAGTGTGTGTGTGGGGTGGGGTGTGTGTGAGTGTGTGTGTGTGTGGTGTGTGTGAGTGTGCGTGGTGTGTGTGAGAGTGAGTGTGTGTGAGTGTGCGTGGTGTGTGTGAGAGTGAGTGTGTGTGAGTGTGTGTGGTGTGTGTGTGAGTGTGTGTGTGGTGTGTGTGTGAGTGTGTGTGTGGGGTGTGGTGTGTGTGAGTGTGTGTGTATGGTGTGTGTGTGAGTGTGTGTGGTGTGTGTGAGAGTGAGTGTGTGTGAGTGTGTGTGGTGTGTGTGTGTGTGTGTGTGTGTGTGTGTGTGTGTGGTGGGGTGTGTGTCTGAATCCTGCTCCCTACCTCCCAGGTCGTTGCATGGGCATCATGAAAGACATAAAGGCAGGCAGGGCACCCATACACATAGAATTAAAATAAATTTAAAAGATGAAACGTGACTGACAAAGACACCTGACGTCAACCTCTGGGTCCCACGAGAACTCGCACGTATTCTCGTGCTTACACGGGAACACAGTATACACATTTCTAAATCCCACAAATATTTGCAGCTTTCCCGACAGCAGCCTTTGCAAGCACAACCATCTCCTTCATGGACCCTTCACTACACAACACAAGTTAGTAGCTGGCAGGTGGCTCAGGTGGCAGGTTGCTGGTCGTGCAGGTGTGATGAGTTCCTGATCCACAGCAGCCGTGTAAAGAAGCTCATGGCAGTGACTTTTACCTATAATCCCAGAACTGGGGAGGCAGGGAAAGGGCTTCCTGGGGCTTGCTGCCTAAACTGTCTACAATAACTGGCAAGCTCCAGATCCCGTGAGAAATCCTGTCTCAAAAGATGAAATGAGACTAGTGAAGACACCCGATGCCAACCTCCATGTGAACTCACACATGTGTGTGAACATCTGCACATGCGTGTACTCAGGAACACATACACACATTAAAAAACAAAACAACTCCCTACAAGGTTAAGACAGAAACATTAAGAATTTGAGCTGGACACAGTCGGGGTTTGAACTGGCAGCTGGCCTTGCTCAACCTGCAGAATGCTTAAGTCTGCCTAGGCCCAGCACACAGTGTCCAGAAGTCTGCATTTAAAGAATGCCCAGGTTGCTGGACATTGGTGGTGCACGCCTTTAATCCCAGCACTAGGGAGGCAGAGGCAGGCAGAGCTCTGTGAGTTCCAGACCAGACTGGTCTACAGAGCAAGTTCCAGGACAGCCTCCAAAGCCACAGAGAAACCTTGTCTCGAAAAACAAAAACAAACAAACAAAAAAACAATGCCCAGGTTGACATCAGGCACTTGCAACAGTGCTGAAGGCTTCCAAACCTAACTAATCATTAGATTCCGGCACTAACCCCAAATTCCCAAACACTTCTCTCCCTACCCCAGGGAATCCACTCCGCTTTCTGTTTGTTTTGTTCTTAGGAATACTCTGCTGGGATTTAGTAAGCATCCCCTCTGTGCCTTGCTTTGCATATCTGCAAAATGGGAGAAGAATGGACTCTTGCTCTTGTGTTGTCGTGAGGCCCCAGTGAGTTACTTTACAGTGTGCTTACAATGGTATCGGGTGCACCACCTGTGTGAAGCGATGCTTTGTCCTTCCTAAAAGCCGTGGTACAGGAATGACTGCTGCCTGCTTTGTCTTCCATTACAAATAGTTCCTGCTCCAGAAAAAACATGTAACAAAAAGAATGAATGAAGCCCAATGTGGTAGCATGTACTCAGGAGGCCGAGGCTGTGAGGCCTCTCAAAAGCAGAGCAAATGGGGTAGGTGCTAGGGGTTGCATTCTTGCAGAGGACTGCAGTTCCAGCTCCTGTGGGAGCAGGAGTCCTCTTCTGACCTCCGCAGCCCTCTTACACTCATTTGTGTGTGCACATGCGCACTCATGCACTTTTAAAAGTAAAGTAAAATGTTTGTAAAATATTAAAAAATAAAAAGCTAGTATGATGGCAAATGCCTGTCATCAGCTATGTGTTGAGTTCAAAGCCAGCCTAGGCAACATAAGACCATGTCTCAAAGGAAAAATAGACTGTCACCTGCTGTGCACAGGGCTAGTACCAGCCTGAGTAAGAGACTTTGAGCTGGACATGATGGCAAGCTTGCGATCCCAGCACTCAGAGAAGTGTGGAAACAGGAAGACTTCCTGTTTGAGATTAGTCTAGGCTTTATAGTGAGTTCAAGGCCACCCTGAGCCACTATGTACTTTACCCAAGGCCATACAGCTAGAAGATAATGAATTGATAACCAAGCTGATCTCTGCATCTATTTTGCAAAGCTGCCTTGTACTGTTCAATCCCTTCAGAAGCTCCTCCTACTTGGCCAGCTCCTGGCGACCTCTGATCTCTCCTACTCCTGCTCTTGGTGACCTCTGATCCCTCCTACTCTACCAGCTCCAGGCAACCTCTGTCACCTTCCTAGTGTCTCTTCCAGAGTCCTGGATGGCTGGAGTCAGTCTGTGTAGCCCTTTAAAAGTCTGGCTTCTTGTTTTGACCTATTTGGTTTTGGTTTTGGAGATAGGGTCTTCAAGTGTAGCTCAGGCTGGCCCAATACTCAAGATCCTCTCCCTTGGTCTCTGAGAACTAGGATTACAGGTGGTCTGCTTTTGCTCAGTGTAAGGTCAGTAAGCTCCATACAGTTTACTCCATGGATCAGCTCATCTTTCCTTTTGATGATGGAAAAGGATTCCGATGAGCTCTGCCCCCATCAGCAGACATCTGGGTTGTTGTCAGTTTGGAGCAATCATGATACTGCTGCTGCTATGATCATTTATGTGCAAGTCACTCTGTGCAATAGATTCTCACTTCCCATAGGTAAATGCCTACAGGACTTTCTGGTCAGAGAGAGGCATATGTTTAACGTTTTGAGATGTTTTCCGGGGTATTAGTACATCACACTCTCACAAGCAAGCTGAATCATTTTGCCAGCTCCAAAATGTCACCAACATGTGGTACTATTTTTGGGGGGAGGAGAGGGAGTATTTGTTTTGTTTTATTTCTGCTACTTTTCCAGGTGTAGAGAAGTCCTTGTTGTGAATTTACTTTGTTGGATTTGGTTTGAGGAAACCAGGGTTTTACTCTAGCCTGAAACTCTTGGAAATATTCCCGCCTCAGCCTCCTAAGTGTTCAATTACAAACATGTGGCACCTCACCTGTTTTCTTTACATTTTCTCGTGTGTGTGTGTGTGTGCACATGTGTGTTTATGCATATATGTGTATTCAAGTACACAGATCTGTGTACACGTGTACAGAGGCCAGAGACTGACTATGGGTATCCTGTTCTGCATTCGCAGCCTTTTTCATTCAACTCAGGGTCTTGCATTGAACCTGGAACTAAGCTAGGCTGGCAGTCAGCAAACCTCAGCAAACCTGCCATCTGCTCCACCATGCTGGGCTTACCACACAAAATTATCTCTTTTTTTTTTTCTGAGACAGGGTTTCTCTGTATTGTTTTGGAGGCTGTCCTGGAACTCGCTCTGTAGACCAGGCTGGCCTCCAACTCACAGAGATCCGACTGCCTCTGCCTCCTGAGTGCTGGGATTAAAGGCATGCGCCACCAACACCCGGCTCAAAATTATTTCTTTTTAACATAAGAGTTGGGATCCAAACTCAGGCCTTCATGCGTGTTTATTGAGCACCCTTCCCTACTGAACAGTTTCCCCAGACCCTCTTTGCATTTTCTAAATGCTATTTTTGAAGACTAGACAATTCAAAAATTTTTATAAGAGTGGTGGAGTATTGGTTTATGGGTGAAGAATGCTTCCTGCCTTGGGGACCTGAGCTTGATCCCAGCACTTATATCGGGCAGCTCACAACCACCTATAACTCCAGTTCCAGGAGATTCAATGCCC